CCACAGGAAAGATGCTTGGGACAGCATGGGCCTGGTGTTCAATCAGTTGCCTGTATGACAAGCTTCCTGCAGGAGTGATGGCTTCTCCTCCAAGACTAAGGAGCTGCAATATTTAAAGGCCCAGAAATGCCCTGACATCTGCTCTAGAATACCTTCCTACAACCTGCTCCTGTCTCACCTCTTACGGTGACGATGATAGATTTTTTTTTTTTTCTTTTTTGGCTATCCCAGGCTGGTGAGCTCTCTGCTTCCTAAAGGAAACTTGTTGACTCCCACATTTACATCCACAACCCTGACTCTTCTTAGAACTCCAGTCTCATGTGTGCCTCTCCTAAACCTCTACTCAGGCATCTCCAACTCCCCTGTCCACAGCTACTTTCTTGATCTTCCTCACAAACCTGTCTCCCAGCCTTCTGCTTCCTCAAAACAAAGTATTGAATCATCCTGTTTCCTCTTTCCTTAAACATCACATCAAGCAACAAGTCTCTACCTTCTACGGTCCGGAATCTGACCTCCTCTCACCATACTCATCTGTGCTACTACAATCTGGGCCAGCACCATGGCTCTCCTGACGGACTGTATTGGCTTCCTACTGTGCCTCCTTGCTTTGGTCATTGTCCCTCAGTGGCCTTTTCTCAAATTCAGAGTGATTTTGGTAAAACCTAAGTCACAAATCAGGTCATCATTCTGTTCACAACCCTCCAAATGCTTCCTATGAGAAATTGAAGTCCAAAGTTCTGTCCGTAGTTCATAGGCCTTTAATCTGTGTGTCCCCTCCTGCCACATCCTCTCTGTGCTCTCTCCCATTTCCTGTGCCATTTATACTGGCCTCCCCGTCATCTGAATAGGACCTCTATCCTAAGGCCTTTGCACTTACCACTCCCCCAGACCTCTGCAGGCTGAGCCTCCTCATTTTCTTTCAAGGAACCCGTTAAAGCAGCACTACCACCATGATCACTGTTACCTACTGATTTTTCTCCACAGCACCCAGCCAAGACAGATATTCATGGAAAGGTCAGCATTTTGATTGGATTCCTAAAGGCAGAATTGTGATTGGAAAGTAGGGATAAAAAAAAATAAGGAAAGGAAGATAGTAGATAGCCTGCAAAAAATGGTCTCCCAGTGTTACCTGATGGTATAAGGCAGGCTTTAGGATGGAGCTGTGTCAAAACAGAAACATTGACAACAAAGTCTCTTCTCTTTGAGGCAAAGATTAGCACGCTTACTATTTGTTGAAGCCAAATAAAAATACCCACAATGTGAAATGTCTTTTCTTTAAGACAGAATTTCTTTTGGATATTGATAGGCAGGATGAACAAGCCAGGGACTGGGAAGAAACAAAGTAAAATAAAAATTTTTGATGAAGAAAATCCCTTTCCTGGTGTGGTATGGTAGCTCACACCTATAAATCCTAGCATTCTGTTAGGCCAAGGTGGGAGGATCCCTTTAGCTGAAGAGTCTGAGACCAGTCTGAGCAAGAGCAAGACCTTATCTCTACTAAAAATATAAAGATTAGCCAGATGTGGCAGATGCCTGTAGTCTCAGCTACTTGGGAGGCTGAGGCAGGAGGATTGCTTGAGCCCAGGAGTTTGAGGTTGAGGTTGCTGTGAGCTAAGCTTAGGCCACGGTACTCTAACCCCTCGGCAACAGAGTGAGACTCTATCTCTAAAAACAAAAACCCCTTTCCTGGATGAAAAGGCACAGCTTAGTGTGAAAAACTACTTAAAGAACAAATGTGAAAAATCCTCAGCAGGGGAAAAATCCTCAGTCAGTCTTGAGATCGAAACATGATCTCTAACTTGATGCGCAAAAATAGTTCTTTATCAAAAACAAACCAAAAAATGTTCTACATAATCACATCAATAAAGTACCCAAATCCCAGAGGGATCCTTCTAAGTGAAGGAGAATACTTCGTTGTTGTTTTGTTTTTGAATTGAAAAAAATGATACAAGTAAACTTAGTAATATTCACAAAAGGATGTGCCAATCAAGAAAGGTACATAAAAGCTAACGAACTATTTTCCTCCATTCATTTTGAGTCTTAAGAATTCTCTTCTATGAATCTGATAGTTTTGTCCTTGTGAGAGTTGTGTACCTTAAATTTCTGATGGCCTTTAAAAATGTCTAGATGATGGGAATTAAACAAATATATTCCACAAAAAAACTGTAAAAAGCTACACCATTCTTAATATTTACAAAGATTACAACTGAGTATTAATAATTCTCTTGCTGTTAACTATCATCAAAAGCTAAATATCATTTTGTTAACCACTAAGTCTGTATCAAAATTACTCCAGAGGGGAAAGAAAAAATATATATGTTCCTCACCACCCTCCCTGTACCACTTCTTTTTCTACGAGCACAACTTACATTCATCTTTAGGTTCAATTTTTTATTATAAAAGATAATTATGCTTTCAAAGTGAACTGAATTGTAAGCGTTTTACTACTTTTCAGTAAGTAAAGGAAAGCTATTTTACTTTTTCATTTTAGCACTCAGCTAAATAGAAATTTTCAAAGGAAAATAAAATACCATACAGCTCTGATTTCTACAGAAATTCAATTTTGTAAGTTGTATAAATGAGTTTGTGAAGGTGAACTTATAAATCTCTGTGGTTTTTATAAATAGAAGCAAACTAGTGTATTTGAATTAGTATACTGGGTGTCCCACAATGGACCACCTCCCAACATTGACTAGCTCCTTAATTTGACCTAATTTTCATAGACTGGACATGCACCACATATACATGTTAGTATAGTAGCCTAGTTCCTTATGTTGACCACCTCCATATATTGACCAATTTTTTACAGTGCCTTGGGCAATCAACTTATAGAAGCCTTATTATATTTTGTAAAATTCTGAAATGAAAATTTTATAAATAAAGGTACATTTAGCTACAATTTTCCATTTCCAATGAGTATGGTGACTTTAGGGAAGACTTTTAGCATTTTTTAATGCAAGACAATGTATTTGTACATATATAGTCATTCTAATTTACTATGTTCCCACTCCAACTTAAAATCTTGAATTCTACACAATGCTTTCATATAAAATACCAAAATTAAGAAAAATTTAGACTCAAAAACAAATTTTTGATAACTACAGTAGTTTGAGTATCATGTATCATTCCATTTACAATCTCAACTTTTTAATTCTATTTATCTTAAAATTTGTTCTTCAGAATGTTATATGGCTATAATTCAACATTACTGAATAATATATTTGAGAAACATCTGGTAACTCTTTGGTTATTAGGTAATTTCATGATTCAAATTTCCTGTTACTATTTTTCTTTCCTGTTACTATTTTGATGTTAACACTTATTAAGCTACCTTTTAATGCAAAACAAAAACAAAAATGTCTTTTCAAAAAGTGTTGAAAAGATTTACCATTTTCATTTTGAAGATGGAGAAACAAGTAAGGGTAGGCTAAAAGGTCTCTCAGATTGTATGGCTGAGAAGACTCTAACCAGATAAGTAATACTTTTTTATCGATTCCTACTACCCTGGAAAACATCAGGCTCCACCAGGCAGGTAACAGCTGTTTATATTTCTAGAACCAACTAAAACAGAAATTAAAGAAAACCAATTATAAAATCCATAGAAAAATAAAAAATAAGTAGCTTCTCATCAACTAAGAAATAAATGAGATTGATTAGCTCTTTATGTGCCTAGTTAAATGTGCCATTTAAACACAGGGCCAAGCTTATCTCCTGTTTGTTTATACCAGTGGCTGAATATAGATAATGGCTACAGGTAGAATCTACATTATAGGTATACAATGTAATACCACAAGCAGAACATAATGGCACCAAACTCAGATTTTTCTTAAAATGGGGAAAGTTGCAGGCTCGGCGCCTGTGGCTCAAGCGGCTAAGGCACCAGCCACATACACCTAGGGTGGCGGGTTCAAATCCCCAGCCTGGGCCTGCCAAACAACGATGGCTGCAACCAAAAAATGGCTGGGCGTTGTGGCAGGCGCCTGTAGTCCCAGCTACTTGGGAGGCTGAGGCAGGAGACTCGCTTGAGCCCAGGAGTTGGAGGTTGCTGTGAGCTGTGATGCCATGGCACTCTACCCAGGGGGATAGCTTGAGGGTCCGTCTAAAAAAAAAAAAGGGGGGAAAGTTGGAAAGTGACAATAAACCAACTGTGAAATGAAAGCTGCAAAGGAAAAACTCACAGAGACACATGCACACACAGCCACACATTAGACTGTGCTGCTGGCTCTGGATACCCATGGGACTGACAGACACTGGCGATCGTTTCCCTTACTGCCATGTCTGATCCCATGCAACCCTGCGCTCTCCCCTTCAGCACCTCAACTCCCAGAAAATGCACAGAACCCATGGCTGCTTCTTCATGAGACTCCTCAGGGTTCTGTGAGCTGCTAGGGTTATAGTTCAGACACAGTAATCACTGGACCAACACCACACCAGCTTAGATGTCTTCCATGCTCCAGTGGGAACGAAGAGACACAAAATTCCTTCTCAGACAATTTTTGGAAGGAGTGCATGGAAGTGGACTCTCCTGTCACACACACTGGGAGAAGATGCCTGGCTTCAGAGTAAAGTTTAGACGGAACAGTGCATAGTTACTAATGACTAATAACTGGGTTTGAAAGCTAATAATTGGCCAGATTCATATTACTTACAGCTGAGTTACAAAGTGGGTATTTAAGAAAGGTAAACATATGACCCTATAGTTAGGCTTGACAGTCAGGCAGTTCTGTGTTGAGTCAGTCAGTCCTGGTTTTGCTGCTTTAAGACAAAAGTTGAACTTAAAAGAGTAAAACTTTTTTTAAAATCTCATATTTTTATAAAGAAAGGGAAGAGAAATTTGGCATTCTGTACACTACTCATGTACTGAAACATCTATTCAATAAAATTAATTTTCACCATTCATTTTAGGATATAAAATAATTAAAGTGAACACACAAAAAAAATGACATGATAGTTTCATGACCTCTGCCTCCCATGTAAAAATATCAAAATACAATCTCACATAGGCTGATCACATTATAGTGTAATATTTATTAAATTTCATCATTTATGATCACTTTGCTATAACTAAATTACCTGACATAAACCTTCACACTTAAAAACACAGATACTTTTCAACTATTTTACTTACACGTACTATTTAATTCTCATGCAGTGCTCATAATTAGGAGATACTGTACATTAGCCCTCTCATAATAAGCTTATAAAGTACTAAGTTCAGAGGGTAGAAAAATGCCGACATCACCTCATTCTCCAAAACCTGCCCACAGATACATTAAACCACTGCTGCTTCTCCTTGTGCGTGTATGGTATACTCTTCTGTAAAATATGTAATTGTACTCACATAACCATAGTTATGACAAGGCAATAATATTTCAGGAAAGGATTATAACAAATGAGACCAATAGATCAGAGCATATCAAAGTCATTGTCATTTGAGAACACCACACACTTTGACGTTTTCTGCTTTCCGGTTGAAAAGAACATGCACAAAGTTTTCTTAGATTGTTGTCAGGAGTGCATGAGAAATTGGCTTGCATGTCACATATGCTGAGAGAAGAGCAATGCCATTGAGGAAAAAGACCTGTGTTCTTTATCTTTTAGGTCTGTCTATATCATCTATAGCTGCTAGAAGTTTCTGTCTTGCTTTCTTATTGATATGGGAGCCCAAGCAGACATTCACCAAATTGGTCAGTTGTTTTGTTGAATATTCCTGTTCAAAAAAGGGAAATACAAATTCAGTACACTAAAAGACATATATCTGATCAATACAAGAGAACAGGCAGATATTCAGGAATCCATGAATAGTGACTGAGTGCTACAAGCCAGTAAAAAATCAGTGGAAATCACAGCTGGGACATGGTTGACCAATTGCTTACTGAGCTGGAACAGGAAGGAATAGGATACAGTGGTATACATTTGAAATAGGAAAGAACTGTATCTGTTTTTATATGGCAAAGTAATCTGACCTGCCTACCCTTTTTATTATTTTGAAGATCAAATATTTTATGCTTATTTCTGTGACAGTCTCTGTTACCAAAATACACAGACATTTCAAATTTTAAAACTACTATTGATTTCCTGGCACTCTCCACTTTATGAAACTTCAGTTAGAAAAACTCAACAAGAGAATAATTCCTCTAAGATATAACAAATGAATAAGGTAACACAGATCAGGAAGTCAGTATATTTTAAACCCTTATAATTGATAGCTGGCAAGTAAAATTAAGACTATAAGTATCTTTTTCTCTATACATATCCATCCACCTGGAACCTGGATTCAGATAATGAGTTGCTAGGATAAAAATCAAGAGGGATTCACAGAAATTTATGCATTCTGATTTGGTTTGAGTGGTTGAATAGCTAAAGTTCAGACGGTGAAAGGTAATTGTATATTATCATCTAATAAGAAAAGAAAACATGTCTTTATCAAAGGTAACCACTAAAGATAGAAAAAGTTCAAAATATGAGATTGAGATTATTTTAAAAACTCTGCAAACTTCTCAGTTTGTGTATCTGACCTCTGAGAGCACATCACCACCTGGTGAGTAATCACATTTAACCAGCAAGCACTGGACTCATCCTTGGTGGAAGTTTCCTCAGACACAGAGTCCCTGCTGCTGCTAGGGAGCTGTCACTGAATGACAGACATCAATCAGATAAAGCACTTCTCAACAATTCAGTCAGGCACATTAAAAGAGCACATACTAAAGTGGGCCTCATTCTTGCATTAAATCACATTTAAGGGCTGGGCTTTTCTCCTCAGCTACTACGTACCCTTTCCCCAAATCCCTTCCTCAGTACCAACTCTGAAGTGTTTCCACTTTACTAGACAGATTCTAGCAACTTATCACAGTCCACTTGTATCTGAGTTTAACATTTTGGTTCTCAGTGTTTCCACTTTACTAGACAGATTCTAGCAACTTATCACAGTCCACTTGTATCTGAGTTTAACATTTTGGTTCTCAAATGTCAGCTGGGCTAAAAGTGGTGATATTTCTCTGAATTCAAGCTCACTGGCCAAGATGATTAACAATAACATGTACATTTCTACTTTGCTTCCAAAGATCAAAAAGTGACCCATGGGGGCACATTTATAAAATACTCAGGCCAATGTTAAAGTTCCAAGCTAAAGTTCATTTATCCTTTTATGGTACTGAAATCAGAAAGGATGAACCTGGAAAGGTAAGTACAAATAATTTCTTATTTCTTTATCCATATGAGATCAAATTTTACTTAGCTTTTGCCCATGACACTTACAGCCTATGTCAATGTGGACCCTGCACAAAGAGATGTAAAGGTCACTGGAAGTTAAGAAGGGGAAGGGGGAAGGGAAGGAGGTATAAAAATTTACCTACTGGGGGTACAGTGAACACTATTCAGGTGGTGGGCACACTAAAGGTCCAACTTAGGATTATACAAGGTATCTGTGTAACAAAACATTTGTGCCCCCTTAATATTTTGAAGTTAAAAAAAGAAAGAAAAGAAAAAGATTTTTAAAATAATCAAGGTTAACAAAATTCTAAGGAAATAGTCACTTTTGCATTCTGTTGGGGAAAATATGAGAAAGTCTGGCGACCAGTATCAAAAATCATTAAAATGTACATACATTTTACACAGGTATTGTCCTTTTGGAAATGTGTTCTAAGATGGATGTGAACGTCCAAAGAGGTTCATCAAAGCACTGTGCACAAGGGTGAAATCTCAAACAATCTGGAACCCATGAAATCACACTGTTCTCTAACCTAGATGCCCTTCTTTCCCTTAATTCATTTTTCTCTTTCAACCATCTGTCATAGCTATTTAATTGAAGTCCAATTATATGTTCTTAGTTTATGAAGCAAGTAAATTAATTTTGTCATATTTGTATGTAAAAATTTTAATGGCAATGACTGCCACACTAGAGAAAAATTTTTTTCTTTGGAGCCATGGTATTTTATTATGAATAAAACTTCAAAAATAAAACAATCCTTTTGAATTTAATAAAAATATTATTTTTAGCCAGGTGTTGTGGTGGGCACCTGTAGTCCCTCAGCTACTCAGGAGGCTGAGGCAAGAGAATCTCCTAAGCCCAGGAGTTGGAGGTTGCTATGAGCTGTGTGATGCCACAGCACTCTATCGAGGGCAATAAAGTGAGACTCTGTGTAGGGTTAGAATCAATTTTTATACTCACATTATGTGAGCTATATGTAACTCACTGCATACTTATTAAATTTGCTTCTGAAAATTAAGTCTTTTGTCATTCCATAGTTATTTAATTCTCTGTAATGGAACTTGGGTGGTTCTGGATGACAACTTCTAAATCATACCCCTTAAGTATGTGCATCAATGTCATATCACAATGGCATAAATTTTGTTCAAAGAGCCACCAAGCAAACGTTAAGGCAAATGTGCAATAGGAAGCTATAATGATTGGAGCACATGGTCCACCACCTGTGGTACCCTTGGGTGGGCCAGGCCAGCTGGAGCAAAGTGGCAGGAGGTGGTGGAGATTTGCCAGTTGACTGCAAAAACAACAAAGAGAGGTTTTGCAGCTTCATGAGACCCTGGGCTCAAATTATTGTGAGTTAAATACAACTCACAAAACAGTTAATGTGTTAACTGTTTTTTTATGTCTATCGTCCACTTGCTTTTTATATCATACATGATTCCTCCATTGAAAACATATTCTCCAATCTTGCACCAAATGGTGCTGTATAAATCTTCATTTTTAATGAAATAAAACCACAAAAAAGGGAACCCTTAAGTTATTAAAGTAGTAAGGATTTGATGATAATTTAACAATGCCCCAATTTTTCTTAAATCTGTCTTCACATACTGCCTATTGAGACAAATGATACAACAATCATATAGAAAAGCTCCCCATACCAAGCATGCTTGGATGGTATGTGTTGAGTTGAACTGTCAAAAATTCAGAATCCTAAATAACAAAATGGTATTTTTCTCTACTTATATCTACACACACAAAAATAACCAAATCTATATTAAAGGAAAAATCTAAGGTAAAATGTAAGTTAAACTTAGCCATTTATTATTAGCCAAATTATTATTATCTTCAGTCATCATTAATACAAGTCAACATATGTAGAATGGCACCATTCCATTGTTGAATGGTACAGAAGGTTGAAACTTACGTATCAGTTACTATATTCAATCTATCTTGAAGTTAATCAAAATAGATTTTCCTATAACACAAATGTAGGAGACATATACCTAATGTTCAGACTTTGGCTGTATTTCTAAATAATTGCTGTAACAGTTCACAAAAGGCCCCCAAAATTGGAATAGGCAAAGGGACTCCATAGATACAGTCTGAATATAGCAAAGAATTGACTCAAGTAGTTTATGTCTAAAAAGCAGTGTTTCTTTATACCATGTACTGCATTTTTGTGATTTTGAATTAAATAACACAGCAGACAAGAATAGCAAAAAGAAAGAAGAAAACTGAATTAACTATTCTCCAGCTCTCACCCTGTGCTCTTTGATCCAGCGTTCCATGTCATTCTCTGTCAGGTAGTAGGCTTTAATATAGGTTTCCACAAATTCTTTATCAGGAATGGGTCTAATATCTGTTAGTTTTTCAAGTTTCATTAAAAACTGTTGAAAATCCAATTGCATCAAGGCACGACCCTCATTACTGCACTTCTTGACATTGGCATATCTAAGACACACAGTAGTAAAAAAACACATGACAAGAAGGTTAGAAAGACAAACCCTGGACTTTTCTCTAAACCATATTTTGATAGATTCTCCCAAAATGAGAAGATTACAGGAAAAAGAGCACATGAGCTTGAGTCAGAACAGGGTTGTGTTTTACCTACCTGTAAAAAGACAGAATAGTCATTTTACTTATCTGGGCCTCAATTTCCTCATTTGCAAAGAGGCTAAATAACTTCAAGGTTCTCTGCAGCACTGCAGACTGTAGCTCTCTTCATTCAATTAACATAATCTTTGTGGGACAGTTAAGCTGGCTACCCACAGTTATATATAAAACAAAGTGATCTTAGTTTTATAAAGCTGTTCAGTATTGTTCAATATTGTAACTATTCAGTGCAAAAGAAACAAATAATTCTCCCATGAAAGCTTGGCAAACCTAAGAAATGTTCATACAGAAAGTATATACATGTTTTCCACACTTAAACAGTTTACAGACTTAGTCCAGTGCCCCACACTACTGAAACACTATGTTTTAAGGTGGACTAGGATACTAATCCTAACAGTATATTTCGTTACTAATAAATTCATGTCTCATTTCCTTCAATCAATCATACAGAACATGAAAATTCAATCTTAGGAAATGAAGTACTTCACCTAAGGAAATCTTAAGAGTTTTAAGAAAATTAAAGCTTATATTATTTAAAGTGACTGAGCATTATTTTTTTTAATAAGAAGTATTCTATATAGAAATATAGACTAGTTACTATTTTACTTTATTAAAGAAATTTATTAAAAATACTTTTCAAGGACAGGTGCAGTAGCTCATGCCTATAATCCTAGTACTCTGGGAGGCTGAGGCAGTTGGATCGCCTGAGCTCAATAATTTCAGACCACCCTGAGCAAGAGTGAGACCCCTGTCTCTAAAAATAGTCGGGCATTGCGGCACATGCCTACAGTCTAGCTACTTTGCTTGAGCCCAGGAGTTTGAGTTTGCTGTGAGTTATAATGCCATGGCACTCTACCAAAGGTGACAAAGGGAGGCTCTGTCTCAAAAAATAAATAAATAAATAAAAATACTTTTCATTTGTGATCATTGACACACAGCCATTTTACAATGTATAGAGCTGTTGTTTTCAATACAGCACGCCAAGGCTGTTGTCAGCTTGTCAATGTAACCTTCCCACTTTCTAATACATTCCTTTTTAGGACAAATGAGAACCAGAGAAAAATAAGTTAAATGATAGTATGAGAACTCAACTGATGTGCAATTCTAGAATACTGCTCATGGTCTCTGAAATAACTACATGCTTTTTACCGATTTTTAAATGTATTACTGATTCCTATTTGTATTCTAGATGTCACAAGGTAGAGTAAGAACAGACTCTGAATAAGTGGGAAAGTTACTATTCATAAATTTATAACTCAACACATGAAACTTTTATATAGTTTGTAGTAATGTGATGATGATGATTAATAACTATGATAGAGAAGTTATGAGGACTGACTTTGCATCATAACATCAGAGTTCATATGCCTTCTTTACCTTTTAAAAAAAAAACTGTGTGAACTTGTTTTAGTTAACCTGTGTCAGCCATAGCTTTCTGAGCCTGGGTTTTTTCATTGATGAAAGAATATTAGTACCTATCAAATTTGTTTTAGGATTCGGTCACAGAAACCTAAAAAAAAGTCAGCAGATGACACACAGTGCCCAAAAATGTTAGGTATAATCATTATCATCACTGCATTTTTAGGTAATAATAATTATTAGTTTAACTTTCGCATAACCATTAGATTCTGCATTCCTCATTCATCCACTGTTACCTGCAAGAAAAGCAAACACAAGACTGGCACAGTGGGGCTTAAGCTTTCCTCTCTAATTATATTCCTAATTTGTCTACTACTTATCATTACCTTTACCCATTCTCTTTACCCATTAGTGACATCTTATAATGTTATCACAATTTATCGTTTAAGAAACAAATAATGCTTTCATGAAAAACTTACCCTTCCACAATAGTTCTATTAGCCAGTCGTATACAATGTTCCCAAAGTATGTTGGAGACAGGCAAGGGTATCCGCACTCTCTTAGAAACTTCATTTAGCCTCCTGTTAAATTGCTCAAATTCCTAAGACCCAAAAAAAAAAAAAAAAAATCATGGCCATAAGTGAGTATCATTATGATGCCATATACTTTCCCACAAAAGTGGCAAAATAACAACTAAAAAAAAAAAAAAAGATTTAGACAAAGTCAGAATCAAATCAAGAAAAACAAAAAGTGATAATGCCAAAGATAACTTGGACTTGGCGTGAGGGTTTTAAAAAAATATGTGCTGGATTTTTAAAAGATTATGTTACAGTACAGAGCATACTAACTACATTTCGCCTGGAAAAAAAAAATAAGTGTCATTAACTGATTAAACAATGTTAACAATGTCCAAATGTTTCTACATCTCCAAATTTTCTATGGCTGTCAGTATGGATTAAAAGAGTTGAATTAATTTGTCTTTAAAAATATCTTCAAGAAACCTAGTTTCTAAAAAATGTTCTAATAAGCTTTCAACTCAGAATTAATTATTTGTAATCTGTAGCTATACTCCTTAGAGAGTGTTCTGGTAAATTATTCTCTTTCCTAAACATTGTTTAAATTACCATACGGGTTGAGTATCCCTTGTTGAAAATGCTTGGGACCAGAAGTGCTCTGGATTTTGGATCCATTCAAATTTTGCATGTCTGCATCACACTTACTATTTGAGCATTTCAAATCCAAAATTCCCAAATCTGGAATCTGAAATGTTCCGATCAGCAAGTCTTTTTCTTTTTTTTTGGCCAGGGGCAGGTTTGAACCCACTACCTCTGGTATATGGGGCCAGCACTCTACCCCCTTTGAGCCACAGGTGCTGCCCTCAGCAAGTCTTTTGAGTGTCATGTGGCACTCAAAAAGTTTCAGATTTTGGAGCATTTTATATTTTGTATTTTTAAATTTGGGATGCTTAATCAATATACCAAATACTTTGAAAGTCATGTTATAACAGCAAATTTTTAGTACAAAGGGAAAAATAAAACATAAAATATTTTCTATTACCTACAGGAAACTGAACATTTTATTGTCTATTAACTTTTATGACATGATTGTACTAAAAATGTAAAATATATGTAACTGATTTAAATAATCCAAATAATCACAAGAAAGCAGCAAACCAGCCTTCAGTCTCTGATCTCTTTGGACTGTTACCATCTAAACATGTTCATTAACAAAAGAAAATGCTGTTGACCTCTCCTTGACAATATATTTCAAATAAACTTAAGGAGGCCTAAAATTATGTTTTTCTTTAGTTTCCTCGATGTGTACAGATTGAGGTGTACAGATTTTCTCAGGAAAAAAAAACTCATCTAATCATCAATCTCCCTTGCTCTTTTCCTAAGTCTCAATTTTTCTTGCTGATTTATTTTTAACGGTTCATTACTCTTAATTAGAAAGAAGTAGACTGTCAATTTACTAAGTTTACTTTTGAAAATCAAAGTTAAAGAACTGCACTTCATCTCTTGTTACACTTCATGGATTTAGCAAAGCAGCAGTATTTTACTACTGTAACTGATTTGGGTTTCAAAAGCCGTAATTCAACATTTTTCATTAATATTTTATTTAAAAGATAAACCATAGACTTAATGACATTCTATCCAATGCTAAATTCAATATTCAAAAATGCTTACTAAAAAATGAATAACAAAATCATCTCATTTTACTTCTAATTCTTTTGGGGAAACATAAGCAGGCTGCTTTCACCTAAATGCTTAGACTTAGAAAAGTAACAGAAAGGACAAAAAGTTTTTACAGATACTTAACCTTTACATTTAAGGAAGTTCTTAAGCTCTTAAAAATTGGGCTCAGGTTAATACCTGACTAACATTAGTTCCTTCTTATAATATTCATATTTCTTGGAACTAAGATTATTGAAGAAGCCTCCTTTGAGTCTGTGTATCTGCTGAGTGCAGAAGTCTTTTTTCCTTGCATACCATGGTGTGCTATGGTCTGAATGTCTCTGTTTGTGCCCTACCCCTGCCAAATCCCCATGTTGAACTCCTGACTACCAGGTGATGGTGCTGGGAGGTGATGCTTTCTGGGGGTGATTAGGTCAGGGGGTTAGAGCCTTCCTGAATGAATTTAGTATCCTTATAGTATGTGGTATCCTTATAGAGCCCCAGTGAGCAACCTTGCCTCTTTCCCCATGGGAGGATGAAATAAGAAGGTGACATCTATAAGAAAGTAGGCCCTCACTACGCACCAAATCTGCCTGAGCCTTGACCTTGGACTTCCCAGCCTCTGGAACTGTGAGAAACAACTACATTTACTGTATACAAGCCGCCTGGTCAATGCTATTTTGTTATAGTGCCCTGAATGGATGAACATAGTATGTCATAAAACATAGAATCAACTTTTCAGAAATAGAATTGTTAAAAAAAAAAAAAAAAAGAGAGAGAGGGTATCCTGATTTATAAATTATCTGAATCTTTTATGCTCCAAATGAAAATTCAAAACTGAAACCTCCTGGATATTCTAGAAACCAAGTTCTTCCTTTGATTATCTTTTAAGGTCAGTGATCTGAGTTCACTTTTGTCACTCCCCCCTGACATCTGTGAGGAAACCCATAGCCACTGCATACTGATCTGGGCACCCTTAAGTCTAGAGACAGCCTCACGGTCTTCAAGCCAGGCCTCCAGAGGCATCAGTGCAGGGAGAGGGCACACGAGCAGAACTCCACTGCTATCTATCTATCTCAGTCTATCGCTCCATTTATTATTTCTCTGGTATCCCAGGCTGTTATCTGTTGCCTTGGGCTGAGCAAGTGTATGAATGTGTCAAAAGTCAGGAGCAGGACAGGACAGAAATGAAAAATAAAATTTTCCTGAAAGTTGCTTTCATTTTCTCAGGAGCTCTTTCCTTACCGCAGAAATCCGCGTGGCTCTTTTTCTTACTTCCTCAGACCTCATCTCCATTCTCACTTTCTCAGGAGCCTTCTCCAATGACAATAAATAAATGGTATTCTACTCCCACCCAGGTCCTGTTATTTTCTTTTAACGGTTTATTGTTTTTTCACGGCATTATTCATCACTTGACATTAGATCTCAATTTATCTGTTTACTGCTATTTCTACACTGGTATGTAAATTCCTTGAGGGCATGTAAGTTTCTGAATCACAACTATATTGCCAGCATTTCTGTTAGTGCCTCTCACATGTCAGGTGATATCTATTCATGCATAAATGAAAAAAAAAATAAAAACTACAGTTCTTTCCAAGAAATTTCTAAGTGTAAGTCATTGAACGCAAAGAGATATTCACAAAAGCAATATCATTTCTAGAAATAACAATTCAGGATAATGAGGAGCACGGTCTCTTATTAATGAACATACACACTAAACCATAGATTCTAATTCAATAGAAATATCTTAGCGGGGAGGATGGATGGAGGGAGGGTGATTGGTGGGACCACACCTGTGGTCCATCTTACAAGGGTACATGTGAATCTTTCTGAATGTAGAATACAACTGTCTTAACACAATAACTAAGAAAATGCCATGAAGGCTACGTTAACCAGTTTGGTAAAAATATTTCAAATTGTATATAAAACCAGCACACTGTACCCCACGACTGCATTAATGTACACAGTTATGACTTAATTAAAAAAAAAAAAGAAATATCTTTTTACTATCAGACTGATAGCTATTGAGATTACATACTGTCAAAGTCAGCCATGATAGGCAATAATCGAATTCTAATTCAGGATGAGAAATTTATAAACAAAACCCAAAGATCTATAAAGTACTCATATCTATAGGAAATGTAAGTCAGACAGTAAGCCTATTTCAATATGGGGACTTGAACATCACAATGTTAAAAACATGGCAGTAAACATAATTGCACTACTTTAAAGTCTTTCTGATAAAAGAATATCTTTCCTAGAAGGACCTTTAGTAGATGTGCTTCTCAGAACACTTGCCTTTAACAAAGCATCTACATATATGTTGTGCTGGGACATGATTTCCTTTACATCCCACTTCACATTAGCCATCAGGAGCAGCATCTGCTCATAATCAATGGCTTTACCAGCTACAATCCAGTAAATTGGCTTGCGTAGTTCACTGGCAGTTGAAACCGTCTGAAATAAATTTCACAGAAATGAAAACAGTTACTTTCTAAAAGTACCAGATTTATTAAAAACACTCTGCCCCTGTTTCTAGTATACACTATAATTGAAAATAAATCACTATACATTTGAAGATTTAAATTACAAAAATATTTTAACATGAGGGCAAAGGCTTTACTCAAAACACAGTTTGAGACACTCAGTAAACTTGAGGCATTGACACCACCACTGTAAGAGAACAAGACATTTTCATGGAGACTAGCGAATATGTCTCCAGCTCTTCCAACTCTCTCCATTTCCACTCCCACTGTTCCACCTCAGGAATGGCATTCCATCCTCTCACCCCCCAGTAATCCAGCAGCCTTCTGACTGGGCTGCCTGTCTCTAGGTTTGCTGTCTATAGCCCACTCTCCACAGCGCCCCCAAAGACTGCCTCAAGAAAACCACACACACACACATCTGAGTTCTCAGCTGCCCACGTGCACTGTGTACTCTTTTGCCTTCACAGACGCCATTCCCTCTGTCTGGAACCTAGCCCCCAGCACCTTCTCTGCCTGGCTGGTTTGGGGTGAACATGACTTCCTCCAGACAGTCTTTTCTGACAACCTTCTCCCAACCACAGCCCCTCCCATCCTCCAATCTGGCTTAAATGCCCTGTCACTGCTCTTTCCCCATATTGTGGCACTTGTCATACTTTATTGTAAATACAGTTTTAACTGTCTCTCTCACCGAACTAAAAGTTAATGAGGTGCTTGATAAGTATGTATTTAATGCAGGAATTCACGAGTGAATAAGTGAATATTCTATCCAGCTCTCCTGGGGGTTGGAGACTGATTTCTAGTTAAAAAAATAAAACCTTAAATAATCTGTGACAGTTCCATTTGGCTCACAGTTAAAATGACATACAAGACCATCTCTGACCTGAGAATAAAACTGCTGAAGAAAGGGCTTTTTAACTGCAGGCATCACAGCATCCAGATGTGGCTGAAGAAACTCAAATTGTTCAGCCAAGAATACCCTAAAGAGAATAAATAATCCACTGTGTAAACAAACTCTGTCCAGGATTCAGAGCCTGTCAATGTTTCCGTATAAGTAGTCTCGTAAGGTCTCTGAGTGCAACATTAACGATTAAAGTTATTTTCCACTTTAGTAAACTATCGTGTACCACCACTTGACATGCTCTCATGCAATCTACACAATGATTAGTGCTGACTTTATCACTGAATGGAAATTGAGGTGAAAGAAGAGTAACTTCAGAGGGAGCTAATCAGATTACAAAAACATAGTTATGCTGCTTTGCATGTGAGATATGAGCACAGATAACACAACAGATTGATAAAATAATCTAACAGTATTTTTTAAGGATTTCTTTTAGAGATCCATTCAATTACATACAAGACTCTTAAATTCACAGTTCAGTATCTACACTTTGCAGAAGTTCACAACATCCATAGCATGCAATCTGTACCTCAGCTGAGGCATGTGAACAACCCACAGGAGCGGGGTGGGAGTCCTTTGGCTGGTGACTGAGCCTGACTATGGCCTGCAGATGTGCAGCAGCTGGGCACTGGTTTTCTCTTTTTATCATGTATGCAAACACTCTTAAGTTATCTTAGACTTCAATTTATGGAAGACGTTATATACTTCAATTTTTTTGTAACATGTTTAAAGATTTACAAAGGTCAGGAAGCATTCTTGCTGATGTCAGGGGTCAACTATATTTAGCTGACAATGCAACTATAGTTTCTCTAGAATCATAAGTCATCAGTAGAAAATAGAAATCGACTGGTAACCTATGTTAGGATCTACTTCTCAGAAATATATAAGGGCTACTCAGAAGTGGTCAATGTGTGCAGCTGCACTAGAAGTCTAACTATGTAATACTTACTTCTATCCCCTTTCTTATCTATGTAATGGCAAAGCAACTGTATTTAACAACTTACAAGGACTCCGTGGCTACCACTCTTTCCGCTAACCCATACAACGTATCGCCAGATGTCAAAACCACTAGGTGACTGAGGTGTGGGCTTGGTACCTTCTCCTTTCTTTCTTCTGCTGCTGTGAGCGTGGCAGTAGGATCAGCTGAAACGTCCTGAAAATGCAACACACACATACATACACAATCTGGAACAGCAAGAATCTAACAGTAAGAAACCATGTGATTTTGACAAAATTAGAACTATAAATAAAACGCTCTTAAGCATATAGCAACCACATTTAATTTCAGTTCTTCCCCCCCCCCGCTTTTATGATTTGTAACTATAAGAACTTTCCTTCTGATACTAAGTGAACATAATTCTGTATATTATCCAACTCTTTATGCTACCATCTGTATAGGACCTAAAATCTGCCAACACGAGAAATCTTTACAAACTGACAGATGTTTTATGTAGACAATATTGAGACGCCCCTCAAGAACTTGTAAATGAGATTGTCCCTTGAGAATCAAGCTGGTAAAATCCAAAATTATGGTGTGATGAACCATTTCACACCCGACCTTAATCAAGGTAACCTTGGTACAATCTCAAGAAGGCAGGACTAGAATAAAACAGCACCAATGGTACTGTATATGTCTAGGGGCAGATTATTGATAAAGATAGTCAATGGGGAAGGAGAGGGACGCCCAGAGAGCAAGATGTGTGGGGCCCCTCAGCACCATCTATGAGAGAACCACTGATTTAAAAACACAGTTAGTTACACAGTCAGCAGGAGTGAGGCAGTCTAATCTGTGGTCAGAAAAACTCATCAGACTTCAAATCTCTTCAGTTTTATTTTTACCCAAGCCATGCTCACTAGCAATCTACCTTTGCAGGGATTCTGATGCCAGGCAAGGAGTGCCTTGGATATGACTTAGGCACAATCTTGTACTCCAAAGATTTATTCCATATTATAAACATACATTGAGCAGCGAGGATATGCTTACCCAGCTTCCCCTCAATACATAGTCAGAAACTCTTATTTTTTGCTGAGCTCTTAGCAAAAAGCAGTAAAAAACAAAACAAAATAAATAAACACCCCCCCCCCGCCAAAATCTGAACTCGGTGGCACACTGACTATCTTTTTTTGTAGGGAGGGTGTGTCTCGAGGAGCTCTTAGGTAAAAGAGATGCTAAACTAGCTACTTGGAGTAGCTGGCAGGGCCCCAGAAGACTGCCAGCTCAGTAACTCCAGATATTTCAATAAAGACACACTTAGGTAAACAGCTTCACTTTGTAAAGCAAACATGAGAGAACGCTGTTTAGCATACTGACATCATCACACCACTGGCTTAAAGAGTTATCACATTCAGTGTCAGAGGAAAGGAGTTTTAGTTACTGGTTTGGCGGGAAGGGCAGGAAAGAAGTCAAGGTAATGACATCACATTTACACTAGAGAAAAAACAAGCCCATGATAGCATGGTTCTTAATAATGACTCCTAATGCTGTGATAATTTCAAAGTCACTTCACTGTATAAGGCCATGAAGAATTCTGACAACTGAATATATTTCTAGTAACAACTACTTTGGATTAGAAATGGACATTATAATTTTAGTTTAAGTACAATGTTTTCCAGTACTGATATGCCATCAAATTCCACTCATTACATTGTGAAAAACATTTCCAGAAAAGAAATTTACAAAAAGAAGAAACTAACGGGATAAATGCTATATGCGCATTACACAATAGCTCCCAGCACTAAAGTGCCGTTACGTTTTAAGCTTACCTGAATATAGATCAACAGTTAACCTACTCAGTCCTTCAGCAGAAAGTTTTAAAATTTTGAGTGAATGGGAGACTGACAGAGCTAGAAGAAATGCTAAACGTTACCTAATACGACCCCTGCAGTTCACATAGTACTGTCAGTGTGGAAAACACTGCATGGTTATCCATTACGGAGTTTAATGCTGACGACCTTGGAGCAGCCACATAGTACAAATAAATATTTAAATGCAAATGTAACAGCTTTAAACGACCGAGCCTCAGAGAAAATTCTACCACAAAAATTAGATGTGAAAGTATACAAAATGTAAATCTAGACTACTTTTCAAAGCAACTCTATAGTTAGAAATCTCTACCATTTTCCACATGAATAAAAGATATGAAATGCATCAGTACTCTGGGAGTATAATTTACCTTTATAAATTTAGCAAAAGCGAAACAAAAATTATAAAACCTTTCAAGTTAGAAAATGCTTTCACTCTTCTTTAGTTTATTTCCTATCTTCTAAAGATAGTGTCTCTCTTCAATTTCTAATTACTCAATTAGAATTTAAAAGTTATTTTAGCAATAACTGCTTCCCCTAGGGACAATCAGGGTCATAGAACCACGTAAATTATCTCATGTTGCATCTCCGCTATTTATTTCCCTCTACTAAAAAGGAAATAACCCTACTACAAAAAAAAAAAAAAAAATCTCCCAAGATCAAATACTGTCCGGTGACAGTTGGTTGCCTATGCTATTAATTCTGGTGGTTATTTAATAAACCACTTTAGGAACCTTGGAATCATTCATGACTCCCCTCCCTCCTCACCTGCCACATCCAATCAATAACTAAAATATGTCTCAACAAACACCACTCTTGTTTGTTCCTTTCCTCTGTCACTACATAGTTAGGCCCTAGACCTCTCAGTAGTCTTCAGCACAGGTAGGCTTCTTTTCTTTTTTTTATTAAATCATAGCTGTGCACATTAATGCAATTATGGGGTACAATGTTCTGGTTTTATATACCATTTGAAATATTTTCATCAAACTGGTTAACATAGCCTTCACCGTATTTTCTTAGTTATTGTGTTAAGACACTTACACTCTACACTTAGTAAATTTAACATGTACCCTTGTAAAATGCACTATAGGTGTGTTCCCACCAATTATTATGAGGAGAAACCTAAGGTACTATATGCAATCTCCTTCTAAGCATCAAACACTCCTGCTCTTAAAATAAATACAACTCAATGCAATAAAATTTAATTGGATTAAACTAAATCCAATACAAACTTGCTGAAAATACTATACAATCTCAAACTCAAACAGGTCAAGGTACCATGAATAATACAGACTTTTTTTTTTTTTTTTTTTTTTTGAGACAGGATCTTGCTCTCTCACCTTGTGGAGAGTGCCTTGGCATCAGCCTAAATCACAGCAACCTCAAACTCCTCGGTTCAAGAAATCCTCCTGCCTCAGTCTTCCGAGTAGCTAGAATAGATGATATTACAGGCTCATGCCCCTATGCCTGGCTAATTTTTCTACTGTTATGGTAGAGAAAGGGCACTGCTCTTGTTCAGGCTGATCTCAAACTCTTGACCCTAAGCAATCCTCCAACTTCAGCCTCCCAGAGTGCTAGGACCACAGGTATGAGCCATGGAGCCTGGCCAAATACCATACGCTTATGATAGCAGAGTTACTTCTGAATTTCATTCTTTTACATATTACGATTAGATATCTCCATATATAAAACATTTATAAAACTAAGAGTTTCTTTGGATTTAGATACTACTAGTTAATTTGGGATAGAACAGGGAGGTGATGCTAGGTGGTGATGAAAGGCAAGGGGAGGAATGCTTTCGTTCCCAGTTAACACTGGTGTAACAGGCATAAAAATTTAGCCAGGTGTCCTCAAACTACGGCCCAGACATTTATCCGGCCCACCAGGTGTTTTTGCGGCTGCTGCCTGTCCTGCTTAGCAGCCGACTCTTCCCGGGGCCGCAGTCCGGCCCTCCAACAGTCTGAGGGACAGTGAACTGGCCCCCTGTTTAAAAAGTTTGAGGACCCCTGATTTAGCCTGTTTAACAGCTAACGTTCTCTGTTTAAATTTTGGGAAATATACTTGAAGAAAGCAAGAGAATCACAAAAATGTTTGACTGACATAAATACATGGTATGTGCTTGTTTTGCATTTAAACAGAAAAGCTCCTAGTGTTTTAGTTTACACAGTACAATAAGGATATAATTCTTAAAGACTTTGAGAAATGAAATTTTATTAATCAACTCTCACAGAGACAATCACCTTTTTTCAGTTTTTCTTGACACTATTTTACTAATATAAAGTGAATTCTTACTTAGGAACTTTTCTGGACAAATTTAAAATATTTTTATTATCACAGATTTAAAGTTATCCAAAGGTCTTAAAGCAAACCATTTAGTTAGCATCACCAAATGGATAATTAAATTCGCATTTCTGGCGCCACTATGACCTATACCAGCATTGTTTCCTACTTTTCCTCTACCAGATGGCTTTTTAAAGACTTTAATGTGTCAAACAAATTTTCTTAGGTTATATTGAATTTACATGAAAAATGGTATTAGATGGCATTTTAGACTACAATGGTTTCATTTTGCCTCTTACCAGTTGGAGATACATAAAAACTAGAAGACATATATAAAAAATGATAAAAAAAAGTGTTCATTAAAATTTTGATTGACATACAGGAGAAAAATAAAGAAAATATTACTTGCATTTGGTCGGCTTCAGATTGATCAGGCTATAGCCAAAAAAGTGTACTGACCAGCAAGAAATCAATTAATGTTCTCTGCCAATGTAGATGCAAATTAATGCAATGAAAAAACTATACTAGCTTAAATAAACCTGGGATCAAGGTCAACAATAAAACAATAAACCAATGCTTGTCAGTATAAGTAATAATAATTCAACATTTAAACAAGGAAAAATTCAGGAAACTTCTACTGTATTGCACAAACACTTATCCTCCAGAGGAGTAAGAACACTGGAGAGACCCTGGCAAAGGGCAGTGCTCCCTACAAGCTGGAGGAAGAATCACTGTGTGCACGGGTCTTCCCGTCCAGTGGGCAGTCTTTTGATTTAAGAGATGGTAACAATAAGGATTTAAAGAAAGCCTATCTCTAAAATATAAGGTGCCAAAGGGGAAAAAACCCATGTCTATCTATTCACTTACTGGGGGAGAAAAGTTATAGGGGTTTTTTTTGTTTTTTTTTAAGATACATCCCTAGGCTCGGCGCCTGTGGCTCTAGCGGCTAAGGTGCCAGCCACATACACCTAAGGTGGCGGGTTCAAATCCCCACC